TGTATTATTTAGTGAGAGAACATCATCTATATAGCGGAACGTAAAGTTAAAGGATATTGCTAACTTCTTATCTTTCTTCCCAAGAAGTTCCTGTATGAAGTCAGCCTCATGATATAAAGAAACAAGTCGGCAATAGAGGGGCACAATTGGTTCCCATTGGAATTCCGACAGTCTGTTGAAAAACACGTCCTCCAAACGTAACAAATATGTTGTCAATCAAGAAATCAAGCATCTTGATAATGTCAGTTTCAGAGAATTTTTTGTTTAAATCAGAGTGATTCTTTGTTAAGTAGGATTTATCCTTCCCCAAGATAAAAATACTTGAAAAGTCAAATGTTTTAATACTATTGCAAGATGAGAGAGTCTTAGATTGTATGTACTCTAAAAGATCTTTGGAATTTTTTAGTATCCACATCTGATTCACGCCACCTCTAGAATAGGCAGTAACAAAGGTGTTAGAATCACTTTGTAACACTGGTAGAGATTGCAGTTGAGAACTCACCTGTTTTGATAGGGACAATCAAACACTTTAAGATCAGCAAGACGTCAAACTTCGATTTTGAGGACCAAGGAATCAAAGTCTATCAAGCATTTGGTATAGGAAGTGTATTTTTCATTAAAAATACTAGAAAAGATCTCCAGAAACCTCAGTTATGATGAGAGTAGGATAAAGGTAGGTTTGTGTATGTAAATAGGTTTTGTGTCTTTGACAAAAAAAGGAACAGCAAATCAAACAAGACACCGGGCCTAATGACAATTTTACCAATATTTTACGTTTTTGTCTAATATCTTGAAAAATATATAAAAAAAAATAGACGCTTTAAATATCAAAAAGGATCAGCAAGACAATCATGACAATATCTACAAATTTTGCCGAAATTGTTGGTTTACTCCTGATACATGTTATAGTCATGATAGTAGTGATTGCCATGATAGTAGTGATTGCCTTAATTGATATATTTCTTACTATTTTTTGCATTTTAGACACAAACTAAAAAGAATAGAGAGAAACGGTAAACAGAAAAATATTATCAGCCATACATTATTTTTATCATGAATTCTATTCTAGTGCACAATGTTGGAGAGAGTCTATTGTTGAAAGGTGCTCATAGACCTAGGTTAGCGACACAGACTCTTTACAGCCTCTACATAATGACAGACTGTTAGGTCACTTTCTTATATTACATATATGAAAAAGTTTAAACAAATTAAATTTTCAAAGTATGTTAATAGACAATATAAGATTGATATACATGATATAAAAATAATGCTTTTAATCTGTAATGTCAAATATTTCCCAGTTTTTTTTCAGATTATAGAAGAGCCATTTGAAGCAACGTGTAATTTAAGACCAACAAAACTCAAGCTGAATAACTCAACAGAGCATGGAGATTTAGCTTGCACAGTTCCTGGGTGTGTCAAGTCATTTAGAAAACCGTCAACTCTAGAACAACATCTTGTCATTGGACAACTTATTTACTATGAAAATGACAACATGACTGATGTTGCCATGGAAGTTTGGGTGGAGAGGTGGAGCAGATTTTATGGATATGCCATCAAACTTTAAGTCTGGGTGGGCCTTAAAGTCAGAAAGGAAATTTGTGTGTTTCAAGGCTTCAGTTAAGGATTATATCAAACAAAAACGAGGCAGGTGGAAGATTATTTGCTCCTGATGATTGGGTTACAGCACAGTAGGTTGGAGGTGTATTTACAAGCTTACAATTAAAACTACAGAAACAGAACCCGGAACGTCCAGGATTAGAATTGAACTTGAAAACAGAAGTTGATGATGACTTAAATGAAGTTCTAACTGAGTTAGATGCTATTGAGACTTTGAACATTGTCGACTCTGTAACTAAACAAATATCTTAGGGCCAATGTGTTCATTTCGTCTTTAAGGATTATGTTTGCTTTTGTTGTTCCAATGCTAAACATATTGAAATTTAATAGAAAATCCACAGCCTTTCCCCTTGTTCTCTAATATCTGACAATTATTTGCCTGAAATATAGAATATTACTGCATGCAGTTCTAGCAATGATTTCCTTAAAACAAGTATATAAATTAAGAAATTGGTTAAAACAAAAAAAATATGGACAAATTCAAGTACACCTTATAGGGTGCACTTGACTTTAGTGACTCATCACGAGGTTTTTTGGAATGTAAAGATTGTGTATGACTTTTTGTGAACAATAAAGGCAAGCACATCATAGACTTGTAAACAAGTCATGTAAGCAAGTAATCTATGTTTAAAACTTTATAACAAGATCTCTGTATTAAAGTCTGTGGATTTTCTGCAAAAATCTTGCTCCAAAATTCCCATTTTCTATTAAATGCAATAAAACAATAACTAATATTGCTTTAAACAATGTTTCCCTTTGGTATATGTATAAAATGGCACATCTCTATTAATCATTATCTTTGCTGTTATGAAATTATTGCACTTTGAAAATTTAGTAAGACACATACTGACATAGCTACGGAAGGGATTAAAAATCTTAAGCACTAATTCTGAGGGCCAATGTGTTCATTATGTTTTTAATCACTAAAGTTTCTAGTTAACGTTCTTCTCTGTCCATCTTTCCGTCTGTCTTTCAGTCTATTAAGCTAAGGGCTACCATCTCTTATCCGCAACTATTCTTGACTTGCGCATTTCCAGTGATGTATGAAAAAGTTAAAGAACATGACCATTTAAGTAATGGGTATTTACTTCATATTACTAGTCACGCTGGGTGTTTGATACTGTCTACCAATTAACTTTGTAGTATTGAAGAATTATTTAATCACTTTAAAAAAAAATTGTTCTAAAAGAGGGACGAAAGATACCAGAGGGGCAGTCAAACTCATAGATCGAAAACAAACTGACAACGCCATGGCCAAAAATAAAAAGACAAACAGACAAATAATAATACAGATGACACAACATAGAAAACCAAAAACTAAGCAACACGAACTCCACCAAAAACATGTGCTTGATAATCATGATAATGTTGCTAGAAATCGATGTAAATGTATTTAAAAATTTTGTTCTATTTCTTGTACTTGAATATTACTTGTATTTCATTTATTTTTATTTGTTATTATTCATTAAATCATGAAAACTTTCAAAATGTAGTTTTAGATATGCAACATCAGTTTCTATGTTTTCTTAAATTCTGTACCTGCGTGGTTGAAACATGTATAAGTTCCCCACCCACCCCCTTGTTTCCCAAATCATTCTAATACATTTTTGATAAAGGTCTTCCAAAATAGAAAAAAAGGGAAAGTGCTGGTAACAAATAATGTACATGCAAACTTGCACTAGTGACTTAGTGTATACAACTGTCCAATATTTCATAAAAATATCACTATTTTGATATGGCTACTGGATGAAAAATAGTTTGAACCCGAGTAAAATCTTTTAGTTAATTATGAGATAGGTGATGAATTTTCAGTAATAAACAATTTCATAAAATTTAAAGCGTCCGTAAATTTTTTTATTCATTTTTAACATGTTTAAAATGTGGTGTTTTTTGTCATTTTTCAACTTTTTGAGGAAATGGGTTATCTTCCTTGAACAAAATATTTTTTTTCGAAAAAAATTAATATATTTAAAGGAATTGAAAATTTAATTTAACTATATAATAACTTGTTGAAACTTTGAAAACAATCAGATGTAGTGCAATAGGCAGTCAAATAATTGATTAAAAAATTGTCATTTGTAAAGCAAAATTGCGCCAAAATTAGGATGAAAACATTAAGCCCCCTAAAAGACCCCAAAATTAAAAAAAAAAAATACATTTCATATCTTCAATACATTTGTATATATGCAATGCATACACAAAATTTCATGAAATTCTGAGAACCCTCTTGAATTGACATCTGCCTGGCTCTATCATAGAATGGCAGTTAAATCATTAACACATTACTTCAAGAAAGAAACAGTGGCCGAGAACAGAATGTCTTAAACAGAAATATTATATAAACCACATCTGTTAACAAAAGATACAATACATTATTGAAATGAAAGATTATCAAATATCCATTCCGAAACAAAAATGTAACCATACGCAAAAGTTGTATTTTTCGCCAGAAATAAATAAACTTTAAGCTGAATATGGAAACAGAAAGCTGTCAGATTAATCTCTATGCTTGAACCAAATAATTCGTTTTTAAACATGGCGAAGTATGCATACAATTTTCAGAGATAACCATGTGGTACTGGTATATTGGTAAAAGAAATATTGAAAAACTATCAAGGCAACGTTGACCTTAGATGGATTGAGGTATTATTTTTAGGCGCCTTTTAGTAAGAAAGCTCTCAAATGTTTCGATTCTTTTACATCCTTAGCTTTCAAATATGCGGCTTTAAACGTTGCTGACAAAGGTAATGACAGAAGAGCGCATCGGGCGGATAAAATTTATAGAACGTTCACATTTTTTAAAGTGCAACTTCCTTTATCTTTAAATATCTGGACTATATAAAGGGTTCATATGCATTAAACACCAAAATAAATAACTTGTAAAAGGTTATTGTTATTTTGTTAATTTTGTTGGTTGTTTGATTTTCGTCCCCGAGGGTATCACCAGCCCAGTAGTCAGCACTTCGGTGTTGACATGAATATCAATTATATGGTCATTTCTATAAATTAACTGATTGCAAAAGTATGAATTATTCGAAATAATAAGGATTTTCTTATCCTAAGCATAGATTACCTTAGCCGTATTTGGCACAACGTTTTGGAATTTTGAGTCCTAAATGCTCTTAAACTTTATAGTGTTTGGCTTTCTAACTATTTTGATCTGAGCGTCACTGATGAGTCTTGTGTAGACGAAACGCGCGTCTGGCGTATCAAATTATAAGCCTAGTACCTTTGATAACTATATAGAACTCTTACCATTAAAATTTAAACATGATTATGAAAGATTTGGGAAGCGTTTTCCTTTTGTCAACAGTATCAGTATATTATGTTAAATAGTTTGAATAAATTTTCTTTGGGTCTGCTTTTTATTCATACAATACCTTTCAACAAACATAAATGTAGAGCTGTGTTTCCATCCTCTCTGATGTGGTTGATGTTTGCTTTGTGCTAACAGAAGTATGTCAAAATATAAATTATTAGTCTATTTAGCATGAAAGCATGTGAATTCAAATCCGAGAGATATATATATTTTCTATTTAAACACATTCTGCGTATGTTGATGATTTTGTTTTACACACACACAATAACTTACGTATGAAATTGTAACCGACTTCGAGTTCTTAACAGATTTCACACTTACTCAATATATGTTCATTAGTTGTTATTTGCCTTGAACGAGCTTTCAGATTGTTACTTTGTGTCTTTAGTATTATTGTTAATTACTTAGTGTGTTGTTTGTGTCAATCTTTTGAGTCAAAACTTTTTCAAATGATGAATAACGTGGTCATATTTGTACTGTCAAACCACTGTCTCAAATAATAGGAGGGTTGAGCGTCCGCAATATTTTTTAACGCCGCCATTTTCTGTATGTAGCTGTCATGCCAGATTCCGTTTTTAGCTTGCTCTACGGTATGGGTTTCACTCCTTGTTAAAGGTCATACGGGGATCTATGTTTGCTAACTTCTACCTTATTTGTCCCTGGATTTAAAATGTCTCATCGTCAAGCATACCACATCTTCTTGTTTTTGTACTATTTTATAAAATTTAAATTGTTGAAATGATAGTTTAAAATGACAACATGTGAGTATAGAAGATTAACATAATCGTATGCTACATTCTAATGGAAACTACCCAATATTATGCATGTATTACTTAATAACCAGCTCTAAAACTTCCATCAACATTTACCTGTTCACCGAATGCATGACGTATAGTACTTGAAATATCGTCCTTAAGAAAACCGATTCATATTGAGTGAACACTTGACCACCTAGACTTGACATTTGTTCAACATCATGACACATCAAAACAGTATTAGCGTATTGTGCAATGAATTATTTGTATTGATCAAGGCAGGTACAGAAACATTAAGAAATATAAACGAACTATTGCCTGATACTGATAGTTAGCATAATGAATTACATTGAGGTCATTTTTTTGACATCACTTATAATTTTGAATCCATATGTTAACAAAACAAAAGTATATATTACAACATTCTTTAAGTTATTTAATAAACAAAACTGAAAACGTTATTCATGTTTTATTCTTACCTGTACTAACAATTTAACAGTTGAATATAAGTCATGATTTATTGCCTCCATTAAAACAGAATTTCCTTCTTTGTCACAAATATTTGGATCAACTCCTTTATCTAACAAAAATTCTGTCAATTCTGGAGTTTTATCTGATTTCCTTATGTAACACAATAAAGCTGTTTCTCCCAGACTATTGGTTACATTGATTTCCGCTCCAAATTCCAATAATGATGATACTACGTCCTTATCAGATGGTTTAGCATCTATGAAAGAAAAGGAAAATGAACACTAAATTTTAAAAGATATATGGAACAACGTACAAGTTATTGTAAACACTTACAGAAAGCATGAACAGTTATCAATATATTTTTTTTGCATTTCATTTCAGTAAATAATCCAGGTTTTAAAATGAATGCAGGAAATAATGTATCAATTTTATTTTCAAATGATGGCTATATTTATGAAAATAAAAGATAGAATATTATGGTAGTTACTACATAAATTGAACATAGTTATTTTGCATGGGAAATTACTAATTAACGGTCAATCATTAATAAAAGTTAAATCACAAAAACACCGGACTCCGAGGAAAACTCGGAAAGTCCGTAATCAAATGGCAAAATCAAAAGCTCAAACACATCAAACGAATAGATAACAACTTTCATATTCCTGACTTGGTACAAAATAGTGGTACAACAGTCAACATTGAGTTATAATCTTAATCACTATAAAAACAAACATATATGTAACAAAGAAACACCAAAAGGCATATAGACAATAAACATAAGCACAAATGAAAGACAAGAATACAAAAATTTACCATAGCACAATAACACAATGATGGGATGTATAAATACCGAGCCACCTCAAATGGATATCACCAAAAATAGACTAAACAGTAAAAGTAATATTAAAAAATACAAAATAGAATAATACTATCACGCGTTATTAAGATGATAAACAACGTAAGTACACAGAATCTATACTTCAAGACCATCGCTTATTATTTGTGAAGTTGATACGGAATATTTATCAACAAGGTGTTGGTATCTTCCGATGAACTTTTTTAGAAAAAAGGACAAGGCGTTCTTTGACCCTGGTTCATCAACTTTCTGCTCAGACACTGGTTACGTTTTACAAAGTCTGAGTAGCAACTGCAAGCTCTTGAATACCGAATAAAGAGGGAAATGTATATTAAGTTGGTATAATAATGGTGACAGTAAAGTACATTTCACGGAGGTCAATCATAAATTGACTAAACTATGTAACTCTCGCGCAGTAAGTAAAAGTTAATATTTTGTCTATTTTATGAGAAGCATTTACGGTCTCAATTTATCATTTGTTCGTAAATAAAACTGACTTGAAACCCAAACAGAAAAACATTTTAATTGTGAGAGCAATTCTGATTGGCGGTTAACCTGAGTTTATTGTACGTTCATCTTTATCAACAACGCCGACTAGTAGACTATCATAAGCGAATCGTTTTGTTGCTCTCGTATTGACATTTTATGCCGCATGAACACACTTATTCATCTAATCATATTTTAGATAAATGATCATGATCAGGACATGGATCACATCACATTCTTGCCTAATTTTCTATTTTTAAATTATTCTTATAACCATTATTAATAATTTGCTTTTTCAGCCTGTGTGTCATTAAATTTATAAAGCGTTATTTTCATTTTCTAGAAATCTATACCAATACTGGTAGACTGCGAGTACAGCTTCAGTAGTATTAATATTTACAGCATATTGTTTTTCAAACCAATCTTCTTAATACATATATTTGATTTAAAATTATTCTCTATTCGTACATACCGAATTGGACTTATCACCAAGGCCCGTATGCATAAAGCTACTTTAGTTAAGATTTTCCTTAGTAAACACTTAAGTTAACACATGGTGAAGGAAACTACGCCCTTTTTACCCAAGTTGTATGCATACAAATCTTAAGCTAAGTATTTCCATAGTTTATCGTGATATAAAAGTTTATTTCAAAAATAGATTTTTTTAAAACCCAAAAGAAAATGAAAGCGGGGGTCTGGAAGGGGGACGGCAGACCACCAGAAGCTGAACGATAATAGTAAAATTATATTTGTTATCACATGCTTGTAATGCTTCACTGGTGCTACGGCACTGAAACCTTTATCATGTTTTGTGTGAGTTTAAAATATATTTTTGTATTATTCTCCAGAAAATATACTTGGCCCCTCCATCCAGCAACACCCATGAAAGTTAATGAGAAATTAAGTAGGGGGGAGTTTTAGATTACAATATTTTTTTTCCTCGCATATTCATCCATCGAAACGTCAACCTTTTATCTTATACGTCAATTGATCATCTGTTTCAACATTGTACTATGTTACGTATTATTAGATTGTTTTACATACCAACATCAATTTAACCCCAGCTCTAGAATAAACGTATGCATTGATCTTTCAAATTAAATACAACATGTAATCATAACAAACTTTTAGACGGATGAGTATATGCGATGAACTAATATCATACGATAATTAGAGAAAGGTTCCGATTTAAATATTCCTTAGTTAAGTGAAGACGTAAGTAAGTTTATGCATACGACTAAAGAATTTTACTGAACTAAGGGAATTCTTAGTGAACTTTAAGTTTAATGAATACTTTAGTAACGATGCTTTATGCATACGAGCTCAGGTTTGTACTTACACGAGCGAGATGACGGGCGCTACGCGAGAAACTTGATATACTCACCCGGAGCACCTGAGATCGCCCATCGGTTTGGCCGGGGTTGTATTTATCAGTCTAATTTTTTATGTTGCTTTTTGTATACTGCTGTTTATCTTTGATCGTTTATCGTTTGTTTTGTTCTGTTTTTGCTATGGCATTGTCAGTTTGTCTTCGACTAATGAGTTTGAACATCCATTTGATATATTCCGCCTCCTTTTTACCAGTTTCTGAAAACAAGCTGACAGTATGATAATAAAATCATGATGACCTTCAACATAATATCGGTATTTGTGCTTCAAATATAGATTTCAAATAGCAACCGTATGCAAATTACATTACAAACATGATCAGTTGAAAAAAATAAAGTAAATTGTGTATAACGTCAACCCAAAAAGGAAAGAAAGGAAACATCATATTTTTTTATTAAAATTATTTCTTTGTTAGATTATGGATCAATATTTTTTGATATTATGGATTGTTTTTCAATTTGTAACATTTGTCACAAAAATATACATTATATTGTACATTCAGTATGTTTGATAAATTAAGATTTACCATAAGTATCTGCAATTATTGTTAAACTTTTATATTCACTTTTCTGACGTTTTTCCATGGAAAAAAAATTCAAATAGTTAAAGACATAATTTGCCATTATATATATAGTTCTGCAAAAAAGGATATATAAAAACCAAGGCTCCGTGTTGTAGACCGTATTTTGTCTTATAATGGTTTACTTTTACAAATTATAACTTGGATGGTGAGTTGTCTCATTGGCACTCATACCGTATCTTCTTATATCTACTTGCTACGTTTTTAGTTTTTGAATGCTTTTCAACGGATTTTTATAGTTTGTTCATATGTTGCAACAGCACTATCTCAGGTTAGGGGAAGGGTTGTGCGCTCACAAATATGTTTAACCTGACCACATTATATATGCGTCTGTCCCAATTCAGGAGCATGTAGTTCAGCGGGTTTCGTTGATTCGTTTCTGTCATTTTTTGTTTTTCATAAACTGTTATCTTTACAAATTAGGCCGTCAGATTTCTCAACTGAGTTTATAGCCGACTATACGGTATGGGCTTTTCCCACCTTTGAAAGCCGTATACGTACGTATGTTTATAAATGCTTTATAATACATTATAAATTAGATATGGCATATTGTTAATATATATGCAAAACCCAGAATGTTGTATACCTTCTTCAGTGTCGATGCGGCATGCAGTATGTTGGCGAGACAGAACAGCCATTCAACAAACGCATGAATGGTCATCGAAGTGACTACACCTGCAAGCCCGACCTCCCCGTAAGTCGTCATTTGAGATCACGTGGGCACGCCCAAGCTGATCTCAAAAACCTTACCATCACTATCATAGACTACAACGAGGGTTGGTCAAGGGCCGACAGACTTGCTCGGGAAAGGGTTTGGATAAGAAAACTTAGGACAGTTTCCCCAGAGGGCATAAATAAAAAAACATAGAATGTGTCACTCATTTTTCTCTACCATCACTTGTTTCCAGTTACTCAGGCTTCCGTTTTGGACTCTTACAGTTTTAAGAAATTTATTTCTTCTCCCGAACATCAATATTGAAAAAATTACCGGCGTATTGATTATTGATAATTTGTATAGCTTTCAAGATTTTTATTTCAGTTTGACTACCACATGTCAAGATAAGATTCATATTACATCTTACTGATGAAGGATATTACTTATCCGAAATATCTAAAATTTGTTCATGATTTAATTATTTTTTGGTAATGGTGTACCCTTTTAGACTTGTTATATATTATATTTTGTAGTGTACTGTATCATAATTTTATGATCCATCGCCCCGTAATATTTATCGTTGGCTATTATTCAGTCATTTTATATATATAATACCATCTTATATTAGTATCGTTGTGCAAATCTCTAGACTTATATATATTTTTTCCTTATCTGCACAGTATCATCTATTCTAGACGATCCGGTACATAGTAAATTTGCTGGTTGGTCCTTTTTATAGACTTCCTTATATATATATATATATATATATACAAATGTATATATTAATGAGTATTCCTCATACATTCTGGCCATTGTCTAGATCTAATCAATTATTGACATCGTAGCCCAAGTATGTTGAGTCAACTTAGAAAACTGATACTTATATCTATTGGTCATATTTTCAAATTGAAAAACAAATCAAAACGTTCACTTTTTTAAACATTGACTAACATACCATTTTCACAACAAACGTGAATAGCAGCGTACCCGTTCTTCCCAAGGTGGTTAACGTTGGCTTTGTGCTTTAGAAGTATGTCTACTACATCACGCATTTTTTTTCTAACAGCTATAATCAAAGGTGAATCTTCTCCCTGCTGTACCATGTTTGGATTGGCTCCTGCTGATAATAATTCTGTAGCGATCTGTGTTATTTTTGAAGAAGTAGCTTTTGTAGTACTGTTAAGCAGTAGTCCTAGTGTTGACACCTTATGTTGTTCTTCGATTGTATTAACAGATATACCTGCTTTGAGGAATAAACACAGCTGGCCTAAAATATTCATAAAAG